AATTCCAAAATTACTTACGACAACCCAAAATTCACTGTTAAACAGCTGTCCTTCTATTATTCAACAAGTGCACTTGTCATTTTTTACTTACGATTAGTGCTAAAATTCTTGTCATGTAAATGTTACGTTGATGAAGTACAATATCACATTGTTCATTTGCTAGAATATCAACAGTCACAATTTGTGTCTCAGCTGATAAATCTTCAATAGAGACAAAATTCCTCAAGTGGGCCACTAATAAATCAGTACTCTGAGTATTTATAAATATTATATATGTCTCGTTAGGATTTCAAAAAATAAAAAGTACGTATTTTTTTATTTTTTAAAATTTTAATTTTTTGAAAAGTTATTAATAATCAATTTTTTTTGCAATTTTTCACGTAAAAATTTTTTTCTTCCGATTGGTTCGATGAATCTTTATAATTTTTGGTCAGTACTTTGAGAAATAATAGTCCTTCCTAAATATATTTTAAAATTTTTTTTTTCATGTAATGTTGTTCAATAAATTGATTTCAGTTGTAAACAATTGACAATTATTAATGCTTCTCAATTAATTACAACAATAAAGAAAATATATTTAGATTCCTCGCTCGATTTCGAAAAAATGAGAAAAAAAAAAAGTTAGAAACTTGCATTAGGTGAAAGACTACGTTCATTTGTTTATTTCGTTATTCAACGCGCTGTGAAGCAACTCCTACGCGAAGCGTCTCAATTGACACAAAACAATTGCATGACATTTATGGAAAACATACATTTATATTTTCACCCGTTAAGTGTGTCCTTGTATCGTGTTCAATACATTATTATTTTACAATTTTTTTCACTTTTTTTAATATCTCTAGTTTAATTTATAAACTATATAAATTTATAAAATATATAAACATATCATATATTGAAAAAATAGTCGATAGATCAGTTTAAAATGCCAAGAGCAAATTCTTGTTGTAATCCTTTAAAAAAAAAAGGGCATAACTGTGTTTACAAAAACGTTGTTCTAGTAACACATAAATGGAATTCAAAATTTGAAAATTTAGTAGGATTTTATATTTGTCAGTCTTGTAAAAGTCAAGTAAACAGACAGTCTAACATTACTCCACAACCGCAAGTCTCTAACAATAGTGTAAGGAAAAGAATCTCTTCGATTTTTCAAACACATAGTGACAGTGATAATGAAGTCGATTTTTATGAAGATTCTTATATGAATAACAAGGTAGGTATATTTTCATGTAGCTTTTCGAATAATGTAACGAAAAAAAAATTTTTGGTTTCAAAAGAAATATTTACTTAAAAAAAAAAATTATTGACTGAAACCAATCAATTATTTTATTTTTTAAAATATTACTAGTTATAATTTTAATCGAATTATTATGAATCATTTTAAGGATTCGAACTATATATTGATTATTACAGGATTTTGAATTATCACCCGTTAAAAAGCTACGACAACATATTGACCTTAAACAGAAATCCAACAGATACGTTCCTATGGATGAAAATTGGACTAAAGATTTAAGGAGTGCAATTGCAAATGAAACTACTCGTTCTGGTCAAATTAGTCTTTTAACCACAGCACCTTTATGTTGGAGCATTCGTCAAATGAAAAAAGAACTAAATGTGTCTCGCCGAATGGCATCAAGAGCTAAGAAATTACATGCAAGTTCAGGATATGGAACTTGTCCTCAACCAAAACGTGGTCGGTGTTTGAATGACTCAACTGTTAAAAAAATTAAAGATTTTTATTTGTCTGATGAAGTTAGTAGAGTGATGCCGGGTGCAAAAGATTACATATCAGTTGTAGAAAATAATCAGAGAATACAGAAACAAAAAAGACTACTTTTAAATAATCTAGGCACTTTACATGAACAATTTGAAGAACAAAATCCAGAAATTAAAATGTCACTATCAACATTTCGTAAACAAAGACCGCAAGAATGTATATTATCCGGTCAAAAAGGGACGCACAACGTTTGCGTTTGTAAGATTCACCAAAATATGAGGTTAAAATTCGAAGGGATGAAAAAACAATTTATTCAAAAAGGTGAAAGTTTCAATTATACGTATCGAGATGCATTAAAAGATATTCTCTGTGAAAGTCCAACATCAGACTGCTATTTCAATGATTGTAAGAAATGTCCTGGTACGAGTATAGTTGTTGATAAGTTGCAGATTTTATTACAGGACTCTAAAATTTCAGAAATAACTTTTAATCAGTGGACGAGCACAGATAGATGCGAGCTCTTATCTAAATTACAATCTAAAGAAGAATTTTTAGTACTTTTGAAAAATGATTTTCCTGATTTGGCGAAGCATGATTTTTTGGCAACATCTCAAGCAGCTTATTTTCGAAAAATGAAAAATTCAATGGAGGACGGGGAAATGATCGTAACTTTAGATTTTGCTGAAAATTATACTTGTCAAGTTCAGAATGCGGTTCAATCACAACACTGGGCTAATGTTCAAGTGACTTTGCACCCCTATGTAATTTATTTCAAAAAAGACAATGTCATAAATCATGAAAATTATGTAATAATTTCTGAACATCTTCAACACGATGCTAATTCAGTATATTTATTTAACTCTAAACTGATAAATCATTTAAGAGAAAATATTGATTTGGAAGGTATAAAAAAAATTTATTATTTTTCTGACGGTGCTGGGTCCCAGTATAAAAATAAATTTAATTTTATTAATTTAATAAATCATGAAAAAGATTTTGGTATAACAGCTGAATGGAATTTTTTTGCCACTTCGCACGGTAAAGGGGCTTGCGATGGAATCGGAGGGACGGTAAAAAGACATGCATATCGATCGAGTTTACAGTGTACAGGTGACAAAAACATAACTTCGCCAAAACTTATGTATGAGTGGGCAACAAAATTTTTCAAAAATATTAATTTTGACTTCTGTTCAGAAGAAGATCATAAATTAAATAAAGAATTTCTAAAGCCTCGATATGAGAAGATTAAAACATTAAAATGCACTCGTCAGTATCATTGTTTTATCCCAATAAATGGAAATAAACTATTATGTAGAAAATTTTCAGAATCCAGAAAATCTGTCACTGAAAGCATAACGAAAACTACATTAATACGTAAGAGTAACTAAAGATTAATTTCAATGTAAACCTAATTTAAACCGATGTTATAAACAATTTATAAATAATATATAATAAAACAATGAAATAATTATTACAATACTAAGATCCTGTCTACCTGTAATCCCTTTTTTATATACTTTACTTCACGAATAGCATTCAAGTCGCACCGCGTCAGAGTTGTTTCACAGCGCGTTGAATAACGAAATAAACAAATGAACGTAGTCTTTCACCTAATGCAAGTTTCTAACTTTTTTTTTTCTCATTTTTTCGAAATCGAGCGAGGAATCTAAATATATTTTCTTTATTGTTGTAATTAATTGAGAAGCATTAATAATTGTCAATTGTTTACAACTGAAATCAATTTATTGAACAACATTACATGAAAAAAAAAAATTTTAAAATATATTTAGGAAGGACTATTATTTCTCAAAGTACTGACCAAAAATTATAAAGATTCATCGAACCAATCGGAAGAAAAAAATTTTTACGTGAAAAATTGCAAAAAAAATTGATTATTAATAACTTTTCAAAAAATTAAAATTTTAAAAAATAAAAAAATACGTACTTTTTATTTTTTTAAATCCTAACAAGACATATATAATATTTATAAATACTCAGAGTACTGATTTATTAGTGGCCCACTTGAGGAATTTTGTCTCATAGCAATAAGCATCATATCAAGATGAAGTTTCGTTAAAATAATATGTAAGCGCCATTAATGATAGAAGCTTCAAGATAACGATGCATAAAATGATGCATATTATCAGGTGAGAAATATAACCCCGAAACCGCCAATTCTTTATTATGAAGTAACACCATGTCAGCTCCTGAAATGATACAAAATGAATAAATAACTTCATTCACAACAAAAGCACCGATTGATTTTTTACAGTTTTCTATCAATGACTCTTTTTAAATGCTTCACTCACGAAACTTGTTCCAAAAATCATAATTATTTCCTGTATATTTAATACAAAACAAAAAACTAATTAAAAATAATAAAACAAGATAAATTATAAATTTATATTTATATTTAACGATAATTCTTGAAAAATATGCTTATGCTAATTCTAAAAATACATTCGCTGATTAGGCCCGAATTATAATTCACTGCTTATAAGGCCTCAATTATAATTATAATTATAATTAGGGCCACTATGTGGACCTACCAAAAAATTCTACTAAGGAAGAAACAATCCATATCATAATAATAATGAGAATAAAAAATGTTGAATCATTTTCAATTTCTCTTCTATAAATTGCTCGATACATACGAACACATTTCTGTAAGTCTGCATCAAAAATAAGATCACAAATAATTATTACTTTTGGTATTCATGCGAAAGCTCTTTTCACGTTCCTGATTGTTTTCTTCGCATTTTAATCCACGCTTAATGTTACGGCAACGTAGTATTTACAATAGAGTCCTGTTTACATGCACGCTAGAAACTATTTTTTGTGCGAATGAATTAATTTTAAGTTTAATTGATTATGTATGAAATATATTTAATCATTAAAAATGGTTTTAGACAGTAGACTAAAATAAAGATGTAGAAAATCCAGTGTAAAATATAATTTTTTCACAGATGAATATTTTTTCAATATCTGCGTCAACGTACGAGAATACACACAGGTTTATTTATTCTACCATACGCAACTCGAATTGATATACCACTACCACACGTGCCAGTCTGCCTAATGTCAATTAGTCCGCTCATTCTTAAACGTTTGCTTATGTGTTTTTATGTATTTGACACTTATTTATGTTTAATCGAATAGTAAGTCTACAAATGTAGGTCGAAGTAACAAGAAATTTGTACTATTTCAATACGTTGATATAAACAAACTCTGAATAAAATTGGCGAAGAATTCTTGTGAAAAAATTTCAAGAGAAACTAAAGAATCACAGTCCACACCCGGGTTTCTTCGTTTTCTTACTAGGCATGGGTAGGTCTATTGAATTTCCCTCCAAGTCATAAAACTCGCTTGGATCAAAGCACGGGTCTACTGTAGAGGAAGTTACTTTTTTGGCTACCGTAGTAGTTGTAGAAGGTGTTGTTGGAGCCATAGTAGTGGTTGTTGTAGAAAGTGTTGTAGGTGCCATCGTTGTTGTTGTTGTAGAAGGCATTGTAGGAACCATAGTTGTTGTTGTTGTAGAAGTTGTTGGTGCCCTTGTTGTTGTCGTTGTAGAAGGTTGTGAGTGGTAGGTGCCATCGTTGTTGTTGTTGTAAAAGGTGGTGTAGGTGTCATCGTTGTTGTTGTTGTTATTGTAGAAGGCATTGTAGGAGCCATAGTTGTTGTTATTGTAGGAGGTGGTGTAGGTGCCATCGTTGTTGTTGTTGTAGAAGGCATTGTAGGAGCCATCGTTGTTGTTGTTGTAGAAGGAATTGTAGGTGCCATTGTTGTTGTTGTAGCTAAAGTTGGTTGTAGGTGCTCATCGTTGTTGTTGTTGTAGAAGGCATTGTAGGAGCCATCGTTGTTGTTGTTGTAAAAGGTGGTGTAGGTGCATCGTTGTTGTTGTTGTAGAAGGCATTGTAGGAGCCATAGTTGTTGTTGTTGTAGGAGGTGTTGTATGGAGCCATCGTTGTGTGTTGTTGTAGACAAGTGTTGTGTAGGTGCTCATCGTTGTTGTTGTTGTAGAAGGCATTGTAGGAGCCATAGTTGTTGTTGTAGCTAAAGTTGGTGTAGGTGCTATCGTTGTTGTTGTTGTAGAAGGCATTGTAGGAGCCATAGTTGTTGTTGTAGAAGTTGTTGGTGCCCTTGTTGTTGTCGTTGTAGAAGTTGTTGGTGCCATCGTTGTTGTTGTTGTAAAAGGTGGTGTAGGTGTCATCGTTGTTGTTGTTGTTGTAGAAGGCATTGTAGGAGCCATAGTTGTTGTTGTTGTAGAAGGTGTTGTAGGTGCAGTCATGCTTGCAATTAATGATGTAGTCGGTAACATATCCATTATCCAAGTAGCTGCTACTGTAGTATTAGCTTCATGATCAACATCAGTCATTTCTGTTATGCTAGTTGTATTGTCTGGTACATCAACAGATCGTGATGTTGCACTTGGCAATGTTTTTGTTGCTTCAAATGTATCATCTTCTCCAAACCGATTTCTTATAAGTAGTGAAGGTTCTGGTTCTGTTAAGACCGTTGTTGATGCTATTTTTGTTGTCGTTGTAAACGGTATTGTTGGAGCAATAGTTGTTGTAGTAGAAAGTGTTGTTGGAGCTATCGTCGTTGTTGTTGTTAGAGAAGGTATTGTGGGAGCTACAGTTGTTGTTGGAGCCATAGTTTTTGTTGTAGTAGTAGGTGTCGTTGGTTCCATTGTTGTCTTCGTGGAAAGTGTCATTGGAGCCATGGTTGTTATTGGAGTCATAGTTATTATTGTTTTAGAAAGTGTTGTTGGCGTTATTGTTGATGTCGTTGTAGAAGTTGTTGGTGCCCTTGTTGTTGTCGTTGTAGAAGTTGTTGGTGCCATTGTTGTTGTCGTTGTAGAAGTTGTTGTTGGTTTCTTAGTTGTCGTTGTAGTTGTTGTTGGCTTCTTAGTTGTCGTTGTAGTTGTTGTCGGCCTCTTCGTAGTCGTAGTAGTCGCGCGAGTAGTTGATGTGTATACGGGCCTTCTTGTAACTGTTGTTGGTTTCCTGGTTGTCGTAGTTCGAACAGTCGTAGGTCTCACGTATGGTGTTGTTCTACGATCACTGCTCGATTCTGTCTCATCTTGATTTTTTCGCTTAGCTTTATAGTCCTGAAGGAATTTTATCTGAAAAAAATCAACATTCGATCAAAAAAATTTTGTTCGCTAATTTCTGTATGTAATAAGATACTTTTTTTTTTTAAAAAAAAAATACGAATTGATCGCACAAAAATAAAGTTATTTTTTTATTTAGCTTTTATTTGTATATATTAATAAAACTCTATACGATACCCAAGAACGGCCATCTCTGTGAGCATCAAGTACATCTGATCTCAATGCACTCGGCAGCTTTTCGAGTTTCTCTCTGAGTAGCCACATAACTTGTTCTTCTTCAATGCAAAATGGTCTACAAGGAGGTCTAACTAGTTTTCCTCCATGGTCTATTACTAAATCAAGATATTCGTTCATCACTTGTTTAGGACCTTTTTGTTTTCTTCTTATAAAGCCACACTAAATAAAATATAATGTAAAACACATATTATCACATCATTCACTTTTGACGAGATAAAAAAATTCAAACTTCAACAATAAACATAAACTCACTGTTCCTGGTTTTTGAGATACTGGAGTTACTTTTTTCTCGTTCATTAGTGCTTCATATGGTTCCCAATCAAGACCTTTTCTTCGAGCATTAAGCATTTTTGATCTCAAATTACTTGGCATTCTTACAAGTGTGCCTCTAAATGACCACAAGATTTGCTCTTCTTCAATGCAAAATGGTCTAGGATAAGGTTCATCAAGATCTTCATTTCTTCTCAATACCATGTCAAGATATTCCTCCTTTAATTTTTTAGGAGGGTCTGGCGTTCTTCTTGGTATACCACACTAGGTAATAAGGGTGTAAAAATTAATAATGACGACATTCAAATATTTTATTGCAACTAAACATCAAAATAATACGTTAATTGTCATTTAATACCACAATAAAAAATGAGAAAATTAATCAAAACTTATTGAACTACATAGAGAGAATTTTTTCACCGCTCAGAAGTAAAAAAAGAGAAGCATACAATTCGACATTCAAAAGTAAAATGTGTGTACATAGAAGTAAATTTTGACTTACTGTAAGTAAAATTCACTTCTAGATACACACATTTTTACTTCTAAACGTCGAATCGTGTACTTCTTATTGTTTTTACTTTGTGATGTCATAGTTTATTTAAAAGATATCAAAAGATTACTCCTTTTTAGCCTACACCTAGTGCAATAGCTGGGATGGAGTAAGAGGTTGTTGCATTAAGATTAAAAAATAGTAATAAATAGAATAGAATTGATAGGGATATTTATAAAATAAACAAATTAATTAAAAAGCCAATCATAAATTTATTAAATTAATAATTAAATTATAATTTTGAAATCATACGATAATTATTTTAAAAGAGAGATTGCACTTTCTTTTAGAATGTTGAATAAAAAAATAAATATTAAGACTTACTTTTGATATTAAAATCCAAATTAATTATTCAAATAACTTTTATAATAAACAATTGAACACGTCTTAATATTTTGATTGTTAAAACTGAAGTGTCACTTAAAGAACATTTTCGGTTGTTGCTAGCAAGTAGCAACATCCCTTCTTTTAAATTTTTAATTAAAAAATTAATTTTCCTTGGTTATGATTAAATCAATAATAATTTCTTTTTATTTTCTTTGAGTTTGTAATTAAATATTTTTGCGAACAATGCTTTTGACAACGATTTATATTTTTTGCATACTGAATTACATTTGAAGCATTATTAAACGCAATAAAAATCAGTATAATAATAATAGAAATATTTCTATAAATTATTAATAATTGTTAATAATAAATTTTAAATCTTTTTCTTTATTTTCTTATTTTTAATTTAAAACGTATGGGCGCGTAGTGCCACATGACGTGACACTTCCGAGCAGTGAAAAAATTCTCTCCGTGTCATCAACGGGCATGTTTATGATTGATCTATCAGTTTTACTTTATAAGAAAAATATTTCATTCGAGAAATATTATATGAATTAAAATAATAATATTTATTACTCACACAGTGAACATAGCCAATAAATGCAATGCAAAAAACCAATAGGAACTTCATTTCTATTATAATTTTTAATCCGTACTTGATAAATCAAACATCCACTTCAATGAGTCCAATGAACGTATAAAACTAAATAAATAAATAGTAGCTATTATATTTATATGTTCGTTGAATTAAATTAATATAGATAAACAATTAAGAGATAATGTCAGGTAAAGTTGTAAAAACTCATCGTTTTATTTACAAATGACGTTAGGTGTGAGAAATCTGTGGAAATACCATTGAATGTAAAGCATTGGATTTTATTTCAATGACTAATCAAGTTAATAAATTACTTTTGAAGCAATACATATTACTAGTAACCCACATTTTCACCTTGACCAGCCACATTGTTGGAGACCCATTAAAATCTAATATGTACTCTAAGTGAAAAGAAATAAGAATTTTATCATGCGTTATCAATAATTATTATACATAGTTGATATTGTACGATTAATTTTTATCAGTTAATAAATTTATTAGACAATTTTTGAGACATTATTGAAAAATTGGTTTCGTTTATTTCCGGTTATCAAAGTTAATGAATTTTTTTTTATTTCTTATGAATTGAAAGTAACAATAAATGAGTCAATTATTCATTCATACAATAATTTTCTTCTATTAATCAATTGTTATATATTCAATAAAGCTATTTATATAAAAAAAAGTAATTTACTTTGAAATAAACCACATGAAAATCTAAAACATGCTATAGAAATAAATATTCTTTTGATTTTATTTTAAGAAATATATTTACTGTATGATAGTCATGATGATATTTAATGGTAATTAAATATATTCTATATAAAATAAAATATTTTTCAAGATAATTTTACAGTATACTTATAATGTTTTAATTATAAATATCTATTAAAAAGATAAGCATGTGACAATTTAAATTAAAAAGTGGGTTTTGTTCCAGAAATTAAATCATAACTGAACTTGTTTTAAGTGGAATCAATCAGAATAATGTCAGTTAATTGTCAACTGATTATTACTTATAAATTCAAAAGTATTTGTCGTATTTTAATTAATTGAAATTCGAGTTTTTCAAAGTAATCTGGAGATTAATCATTCATGATTATTATCAATGAAATGGCATTAAAACATTTTTTTTCACTTCAAGTTCCTCCTTGCTATAGCAATGGATCCTTTTATCATTGGAGTTGAATTCCTACACTGAGAAAAATTTTCTTTCCATTTTACTAAGCAGCCCAGTAAGTGAATAAAGTAAAGTAAAGTGAATATTATTGAATCCATTTTAGAAGACATAAACAATGACTGTGTACATATTTTTGAAATTGTGGAAGCCACTGATCAGCAAAAATATTTAATAAAAGAATGCATATGATGATATAATATTTCATTGTTGTTATTTATTTATAAATTTTTTAAAACCTAATATACAATTCACTGCGAAATACAGTAAAATTTACTGATAAACTCAGTAAATTTTGCGGAGAGACTCACTGAATTTCTTCAGAAAAGCTCAGTAAAATTTACTGAAAAACGTAGTCAAAATTTATGCGGTAACCCAGTAAAATTCCTACAGACGGAAAATTTGTTTTTCGTTATACCCGCACGGAAAGTTCACTTTTCCATTAGAGAGGGGTTAAATTTTCCACGCAGGTGTGACATAAAATCATATTCAGCTCTAAGGAGTACAATTAGACTAGCTTAAATCACGTGTTTACCACCCTCGCCTTTGGCTCGGGTACTTTTCCTCCCTAGGTGTGAAATGTACTATTACTTGAGATTTTTTACTAGGTTGCCCAGTAAATTTTACTACGCATGCGCATATGGTCCCACATTACTGAAGTATCCCAGTAAAATTCACTAGGCCGCTCAGTAAAATGTAATAGTACATTTCACACCTAGGGAGGGAAAGTAGTCTAGCTCAAACCACGTGTAAAATTACAACCCGAGCCGAAGGCGAGGGTAGTAAACACGTGGTTTAAGCTAGTCTAATTGTCTTCTCTAGGGCTGAATATGATTTTTCGTCATACCTGCGTGGAAAGTTCAACCCCTCTCCAATGGAAAAGTGAACTTTCCGTGCGGGTATGACGAAAAGAAAATTTTTCTTAGTGTAGAAATACCGAGTTTCTTTTGTTGCACCCAGAGATTGTTTATAGACATAGAAGATAATTAGTTGATTAATGATCTGTTGGAGCATGAGAATTGTTCTTCAATATGTTATGTCAATAATTCATATGAGTTGTTTTAATTTTGAAAAATTCATCAAACCTTGATTGGAATATTAGGAATGAAATAATTTAGTAATTTGTATTTTTTATTAGATTCTTTGTATACACATTATACAATGTCTTTCATTTAAAAGATCTTTCAAGATTCCTCTGGGACGCGAGTTTAATTGATGAGATCGTTAATATGTTCGATCGATTCATCCATCGAGTCACTTTCATGTTTTGCTCCACCATCCTTCGTCTATCCATCGCGATCTGCGACCACCCGAAGCGTTTCCTGTGTCCTTCCACGCTATTCTATGTTTCTACTTTTCTCGTGAGATTCATTGAGTATCTGTCTTACAAATTTTTTTGTTGTCCTACTTGAAAGTTTTCTTTTCCTCACTTCTAATTAATACTCATAGCTCCATACTTATCAACACTTCCTAGATGAAGCTACGAACTATTTAAATTTAGCTTCCATCCTGGGATCGTTGACATTTTGGAAATCTTAAGGGGAAATAAAAGAAGATATTTCGATTTTCCACGAGTCTTACATCAATTAAAGTACCTAAATCAAGAGGCAGTAAATTAAAAAAATGTCCTTGAGTAGTCTGTCAAGTAATTCCGGCATCGATCATTCGCAGACTCGTCCACGCGTCAGATGTAAAAAAGATACATGAACAAGAGGGTATATACATTTATTCTTATACATATACATATAAATATATGCTTTATTTGCAGCATTTCTATAAGACATAAGAGGAGGTTAAGAGAAAGAGAGAAGAGTTTAGTAACGTTTTAGTGGCAATACGTGGAGATACCAATAAATATGTCTTCAGCGGTCGGGCATGCAATATGTATGTGGCAATCCGCCAACTTGGGGATCGCCAGCGAGGCCCTTCTATGTCTTTCCTCTCGATGAGTCTTCCTCAGGACAAAAAAATGTCTCGACGTATTGAGACGAAATGTACTGGCGATATATTGATTCGCTTTGAACCATAAGAAACGTGAGAATGTCAGCCTTATATACAATGACCGTCAATTTTTAAATTCTTCTGAGTAAATAAATTGCCATTGTTATCCTTGTGTTTACTAAAAATTTTTTTTTTCAACTTATGGATTATTAACTTCCCAATTCATGAAGAAATTATGGTAATCATCCTAACCCTATAGGCAGATGGAAACATTTTATAATTAATTTTTCATAATTATTCTGAAAAAAACATATTGCTGTAGAAACTATCTTAAGTATCATGAAATATGGCTTGTGACGTCACATGTGCATAACCTCATCTCTGATCATGATAGTATTGACGTCATTTAAAAAGAATACTATTCATTATTATAAAAAATACATACTGTCAAAATTGTGCAATATTATTAATCAAATTTCTAAACAATATTAAAAGGGCAATATTTAAAAAAGCTGCAAAAAATATTTTTCTAAAGCAACTATTTCAGATATCGTGAATCGATTATCTAGATAATATCTACAGCTATCTAATGAGATAGATAATCTGAGGAGTAC